CATGGTAAAATTGTACAACTAAGGGCTCGAGACAGAGTTGATATTTCGAGTAATTTGAAGCGAAAGCTTATTTTTTCTATTTAATTTTAATGTCATGCATCCAAGTTCGCATCTAGAGAGGACTGTAATCTGACCAACTCTGGCGTGACTTAAGTCCAAAACATCTGGATCTATCAGAATAATGCCACGCAGGTCTTAAGCAAATTATGTAAAATTTCGATAGTAATTAGGGTTTATTAGAGTGGCCTTGATTCATGCTAAGACATCTCTATATTGAGCTGCATCCTTACCACCCCTCTACATCTTAATTTTCGAAATTATCATTTGATCTAAACTCGACCAGTTGGACACAACGGGTCCAACTTTTTGTTGATTCACTACCACAGTGGTCAGTTTATAGGCCTCCTTTGTCCTGAGGCTGCACATACTCAGTGTCGTATCCTCGCTACGTTCTATTTTTCTCTAAGTAACAGGAATAATAACATTTGCTGGCGAACTCGGGGGCCATCCGGGCGGCTATTATCCCTGTAAGGGCATGGGGCGGCTATTATTTCTGTAAGGGCATGGGACGGAGACAAGAGGAAAGTGATACATTCCAGTTATGCCTCATAAGTGTATTGGAGGCAGAAAAGCTGGAATGAAATCGGCTCGGGATGTTGGCAGGAAAGCTTGAGGTGACCATTCTGTTGAGTATTTTATGTATTAAATTTTCGTGCTGGCTTGAGCACCACAATCCAGTTCAGGCTCGGCTAAATTGACGTATTTGATATTCTATTTGCGGACATTGCGAATAAATACCATCAATTCTGCTTGCATACTAGGAATTTTAGGGCATGCTTTTGGAACATTGCCATCTAATTCCTTTCTTCAGCATATAATTACAAGAGTTTAATTGTGGCATGAACTAGCATTATAATCCAATAGGTGTTGTGCCATAAACCAGCTTGAGAAATGGTGATTTTCTATAAATTTTTTTTCTTGAGATAGACTAGCACTAAGTTATATAGCCTTGCGACTCTCGAAATTGCTTCTTATTAAAATCAGCTTCATTGTGTCTAAATACCTTTTTTTACTATGGTATATTTAGGTGGAATGTAGATAGTTCCATTGGTAGCTCGAAGTTCCATCTCCTGACAATTGAGTGATTCGTGATAAATACTTGACTTGGGCTTTGGTTGCACTTTGCATTCCAAAAGCGTTTTATCATTTAAGCTGTACTGCAGTTTTAACTTCGCCTTGTTCTTAATCGACACTACGACTTCAACCATTATGAAATTTAGCATATCCATAGTGCCATGCCAAAATTTTCTTTTTCACAACCACCCACCCATGTGAGAATGAGGTTTGGGATTTTTATGACTTCATTGTGCCAATTATGTAAATGACCAGAAAATCTTCGTTTGACTCAAACTCTCCCCTCCTGAAGGATATTAGTTACTTTGACCTCTTTCCCATTCCGCCTTTTCCATTTTGGTACATGCCTCTTGTTCCATTATCTGACATGAGTATGAAGCTTAAGTTTGTCTTCTCGGCATGAGGGCCAAGATGGTATGGCCTCTATTTTGGTTGCAGCCTTGTTTAATTATCTAGAATTGGTCCTATCTCGTTCTCGCAATTTGGTCGTAGGGTCATAACTTACTCCGTCCTGCGTTATCCACCAGAGCTGCCACGATACCTTTCAGCATTTCCATTTATAGTAGGCTTCATCCATAAGTCTTTCCATTCTGAACATTGGAACATGTCTCTTGCATCTTTGACGAGCCGTAGCT